TTATATCATCGAGTAAACTGACTAAGTGACATTTTTTATGGGTATTTCATATCATATTCAAATTTTAGGAACTTTTTTATACACTTTTTTGTCTGTATTATGTATTTTTATTTTATTTTTAACAATCATAAATTATTAATAGGATTCTTTATTTTGACAAATTCAGTGTTTTCTTTTCCCTGATGCTTGGTCATTGTTCTATTAGGTCTCTGGAGGGTAAAGGTCTGCACCTGACAGGATTTAAACCTGCAACACTTCCATCACAAATGCCTCAGCACCACATTCACTTCCTGTGCCCATTGGCTGATTGATCAGTGACTGTTTGCCTCTCCTCTCCCTGCAGGATCAATAATCTGTGCACAACTGTTCGAAACTCTGAACCACCAAACCATTTTCTCCCTCTTTAGAGAAGCTTGTTTTGTCCTGGAAATATTCTGTGCTCTTGTTTCTGCTGTTTGATCATGTGGGCTGGGCATCTGCTCTATTGAATGAGTCACACAGTAAATAGGTGAAAGAGAAAATAAAATCTGTCTCACTAGCTGACCTGTTAGTTTTCCTCTAGAGATCACTTCAGGTCAGAGGCTTGTGTTGGAGGGAAAAATCACTCTCACCCTGAGTGCAGTTTGTAGGAAAGTCATGGAAAACTATCTGGAAGCTCCCAAAAATCCCTGAATGGGTGCTCTGTGGGAGTACAACTAATTTTATTAGCCCCCTTGGAAACCTTCAACCTAACAAGTGGAAAGCAGTTTCTGCATAAATTAGAGATAATCCAGAGTAAATTATGCAAATATATTCGCTCAGATAAAGGAGGGGGTGGTGTGGTCGTTTATGGTGAGGTTAAAAAATCTGAGCCAGTGGTTGAAACTGAATTGAGGGAAACTTTATTTATAAGTTTGTGAGGGCTCGGCCTGTGAGGAAATAACACCGTTGCATCAGGTGTAAATCAATGACAAGAAGGAACGAAGCCATTGCTATAAAATGTTCATCTGGTCAGTTTTCTGGTTGATTTCTTTCCTTTAGGGCCACCATCATTTTTAGTTAATTATAATGAAAAATGACTGAGGACCTTTTGCAGAGATAATTCATCACAGTTAATATTTAGTCAAGGCAAGAAATGTCATCGTTATCTTGTAATGCAGTTGAGAGAGTTTTGAAAAGTCTCCTTGGCCATGGCCAGATTTACCTGTTAAAAATAACTTCTTTGACTGCTCTGACTGCTCAATGAAAGAAGCTCTGACTGAACAAACAAAGTACATAAGAACCAATAGCAGCACATGGACAAAGCAGAAAGAGGATTTCAACTTACCTTACTACCAAATGGGATTCACACCTAGCTGAAAAACTAATGGCAGTCAAATACTACTTTAATATATTCAACAGATATTACCCAGCTGGCTTAGACTCTCCCTAGCTCAACTATTTGAGCTGTAGCAAGTTTGCTGCTCTCTATGATCACATCCAGAGAAAGAATCCAGGACAAATCTTAATCTTCTTTTTATGGTTCATAGATAAAGAATACAATCTGCAAAGGAACAATCCTTGAGGGTAATGCTAAACTCACCGTTAGCCAAGACCTGTCTACAGAGGTTCATTGAAAGTGCAAGAAGTTTTCACGGGTGATCAAAGTATTCTCCAAAAGGGGTATGTTCCGAAGGTTTGCATGCCCTTGTCGGTTTTGTAACCAATACAATATTTTTTTGAGGGTCCTGACAAGGAATAATAACTGGTAATAGATCATTGATTATTGCTTCAAAGATTATGTTTAGTGGGAACGTTTTTTCTCATAAAACAAGGTGCATATTTATTTTAACAGGTGTTATGGGGACGTGGTCAGGATGGATGGTGGGAGTACAGAGTTCATGACACCAGAAACACATCCACTGTGGTTTAGGCAACAAAAGCATTTTGATTAAGGTTAGTGAAAGATTGTGGTTTCAGTTAAAAGGTAATAAAGTAAAATGATTAAGTGCTCACTGCAGTGGAGAAAACATGATGCAGTGCCATATACGCAGGCCTACATACTAGAAAATTAGCTGACCTCTTAGTACTTTTAAATTGTTAAATTGTTCCTTGTGTGTTTTATTACAGAGGTGTAGCAGTAATTTAAAAAAATATTTTAAAACTTTTAATCATAACCAGGGTTTGGAAGTGTTTCACCCTAAAATCATCATTACTTTATGTAATAAATGCCTTGTGCTTCAGAATAAATTGCAGTTTTTAATATTTAACAAAGAGCACAATCTTTTTTAAACATAACCAAGTACTGTGGGTATACTGTGGTATAGTTGTAGGAGAGCAAATTATGTATATTGAGTTATTATGTGAAGTATCCACTTTTTGAGACCTGTTAATTGGAGAATCAGGGTGCACAGAGGTGAAGCTGTTCTCCGTCTGACACTGGAGAAAACAGAGAACAAAAGGATTTCTCAAAATGTTAAATTGTTCCGACCTCTTTTTAAGAAGTCTTGTATTCAAGTTGTTAATTTTCAGAAACACATAACCACTCAATAGTTAATATGCAGTGTTGCATCCTGTGATCCCTGAATGGACTACACACACACACACACACACACACACACACACACACACACACACACACACACACACACACACACACACACACACACACAACACACACACACACACACACACACACACACACACATACAGACACTTGTTCCACATTCCCAGAGTGAATTGCGATTTCTGGGTCAACGCTGATGTTTTGGTCTCCATTTCAGTGCGAGGTGGAAACGTCTCTCCAGGGTCAGGAGGTCGGCAGCCCTGTGAACTCCACACACACACTTAAAAACAAAAAGACACTCCTCTCAGCCATTTCACTCAATTATTCTTTACGATGTGTTAATGGCTCCCCACTGTCTGCAGTCTGCTGTGCCTCACTCTTAGGAAACTCTGGTGGAACAGTCATGACACCTGATGATGTGCTCTGATTTTAAAAGAGAAAATCTGTCCTCTGATACAACTGGAATATTATTTTCAGGCTGCAGTCCAGGTGAAGTTTGGATTACTTTGATAATGATGACTGTTATGATTGATGATTGTTAAAGAGTATTTTGGTTATTAAATGTATTTCTTTTTCTGTTGCTTTTTTTGTATATACCTTATTCCTAATCACATACTGTAAAAGCAGATAAGTTAATTTAACCTAAAACAATTGTTAAAACTGATTGCAATGAAATTTTTAAGTAAAACTAACTCAATTTAAAAAAAAAATTATTGATCAAGTAGCAAAGAAAGACGTGACGCTGACTTCATTTTGTAATTTTTATTTGTACTGTGAAAACAAGATACCTAGAAAAAGTATTTAATCATGAATGTTCCAGTGATTTACAAAACTAAATTAGTGTCACTTAAAATCGGGGATGTCACTTTTTAACTTAAACATTTTTGTTGTTGTTGTTGTGTTACTTATCATTTTTTTAAGTTAAAATAACTTATCGCATTACAGTGCATGATACCTTGTGTTTTTTTTATTACACTAAGTTAACAGTAAGCTACAGGTGTCGTCTTCTTTTCTTGGAGCTTTTAGGGAAAAAGATGTGTAACACAACCTGTCACACCTTATACGAGATAATGTAATCGTAACTCTGCCTGCTATCGGATGTAGAGAAGAATGGCCTCTTATAACAGTAATAAGCTAAGTCGAGTTAGGAGTTGTGTTTTGTTGTGTTGTTTGTGGCTGCACCAACAATGTGTCGAAGGTTAACTAAAAATAGAAAAGGGATTCTTCCAAAAAGAAAGATTAAACTTCTCTGCTACTGCTATGTTTGCTTCAAAATACACAAGGTTGGGTTCCTTCGCCAACTTTATTGCGATGGAAGTACTGATAAGCCTCAGAGCCATCGGTAGCCACAGAATAAATAAAGTAGCTAAACATACTATGGTACATTATCAGAGGTCACTTGTTCCCTTCCCATCCATGATCCCATTATTCCATTTAAGGTGTGACAGGTTGTGTTCCCAAGTGAACCAAAAAAACTTTGGAATTTCCCCATTGTGGGACAAATAAAGTAATATCTATCTATCTATCTATCTATCTATCTATCTATCTATCTATCTATCTAAAACAGTAAGGTTTTGGGCCAGATAGCTAAACAAACTCAGTGTAAAGCTCTGTAAATTGAGATGAGCTGCAGATTCAGCAGATTATTCTCTGTAGGTTCAATACTATCAAAGACAACTTTCACATTGTCACATTAGCCAAGTTTCCAGCCAAATGCATTACAAATTTTAATCCGATTTTTTAGAAAATTGGCAAAAGAAAGTGCGAATAAATGCTTGTTTCCATCCACTATAGTATAATGTCATAATTAGAAGAGTGCCTGTCAAATCTCAAACCATGAAACACAATGCAGAAAACAGCATGTGACACTTCTGTTTGTTGCATGTATTAATGGTGGAGGATCATGATGCAGAAAAAGCTAACCATTCATGTGAGTTGCTCTGTCAAAACTTATTTGAAAAAAGTGTTTCCATCTCCAATTAAGCACATTAACTCATTGTTGCTAAAAACCATGAACCACCTCCAGCGAGAGTAAAACCTTTTTTGCTGTCTCGAATTTTGCTGTTTCCATCAACCCTTTCTAATGCTGTACTTCAAAATGTGCATCAAAAATATGTTTATGGAAACTGTTTTCACATTGTTGTTTGATTTTCTTTATTTTAAAAATATTGATAACAGCCGCTATAATAGTTCAGTTTATATTGTAATTACACAATTAACAACCAAACATAAAGGGGTCAATGGGAGCCAACAACTCACGGTTTGCCCCCAGGGGTGTTTATGATTAAACAACATGGAAACAAACAATAAACAAACAAACACATAAATAAAAGATTGAGTTAAGGAACATATGGTCCTACTAAAGTATGAAAAATAAAAATCGCCTGCCTGTTTATCACAGTAGTATCAGCTGAGGTCGGTGTGTGGAGGAGAGGCCGGTGTGGCTCAGGGCTGTGGGCGGCGCACAGCTTCAGTCTGGCGTCTCCTCCTCAGTCAGTCAGTCGGTCGGTGTGGAGGAGAGCGGACGGAGCGGAGCGACGCACCGGGACCCTGGATCTGTACTACACAAATACGGCAGCAAGACCACAACCGACCAACCGACCGGCAGGCAGGCAGGCAGGAGCCGAGCAGCATGGAGCTGTGAGGGCTGCGGGCCGACTGGGACCTGCTCCCCAAAAATCACTGTTTGATTTGTTTATTTACCGCATCTGCGAGCTTTTCACCAACATGGAGACTACAGGCTGCTGGCTGCTACTGGCTCTACATTTCATCCTCATTTGCCCACAAGGTAAGGCATGGTGTCATTAATGTTTTGTCCTCACATGGCTCAGATACTCTTACATATTGTGATAAGTTTAGATTATATAAAGACCGCGGGGGTTTCAACTTGCTGCGCCAACTTGAAGGTGATTGCGCAGCAGCGTCAGGTGAGCTCTGTCTGAGGCAAACCAAAGAAGTCTGCATGTAGTTTGTTTATTTGTATTTGTGTCAGAATTGAACATATCTTGCTCTGTTTTATTTTCACAAAGGAACCTGCGGTGCGTAACGCGCTGTGCGTCCTTGGAAACATTCTAGGAAACGAGTCCAAAACGCAAAACGGTTTTAAAAACCGAACAGATTTCCTTATGTGACTGAGATGTCTGTCGTGTTGTCTGTTGATGATCCTCTCCGGGTCTGTGGGATCTCAGATTAAAACGTTTGAGAGGCGCAGGGCGTGACATATCAGCTTCAAACCGGAGCTGTCAAGCATGAAATGAGAAGTTTGGACACGGTAGTCTGACTGGCTTATTAAGGGTGTCAGAGGCTCCATATCTGGCAACAACAGCCATAATCCTGTAATGCTACTCAGGAACAGATACTATCACTGCAAACTATAAATTACATATCTGTTTTATTCCCCAACTTAGAGTAGTGATGGAGAGAAAGAAATACATGAAACTCAATTCATTGGGAATACTAAATAGGAGGTAAAGTTAATGTGTCTGTAAGCTAATGTAAGTAAAAAGGCCCTGATGTCTCTGATCAGGAGGAGATTGGTTGTGTTCTCGGTATTTTTGGAGACTTTTCTGTCTGCTGTAAAAAGTAAATTGGCTTGTCTCAGCTTTAAGTGGTTTGTGTTTGGACTGTGGCGACTGTTCCAACCTGTCTGTTTGCAGAAATGAAGGAATGCAGCTTTAAAATATAACATGCTGAGAAAACATCCAGCAGTGAGGAAGTTTTATGCCCAGCCAGGAGTTTTCAGGAGCCAGTAAACATCCTTTTTTGTAGTACATCAGTAGTAATCCTCTTGTGTTTGGCTCATTTACTGTTTAGAATCTGAGATGCAGTGCTGATGTGTGTCAGACATTAGGAGTGAGTTTGCTTCAATATCCAACTCCAGCCAGGAAAACCCTGCCATCAAGGTGTCCTCAAATGGAAGGTTACTGAAATCTTAAGAAGCATCTAATCACTATTCAGTGATAACATGTTGTTCACGGGCAGTCAAGCAAAAATACCCCTTTACACCAGTTAAAAAAATGTTGACACTGCAGCAAATTTCACTGTAGTCAAATCTGCAGGTTTGTGAGGTACCTTATTGAACCAACGAGTAGAGCAGATATGATGACTTGTAAACCCTGATACCAGAGATGCTTTTAAAAACCACAATATGAAAACCACAGTGATGAACCAACAGAGAATTATTACCTGAATCTGCAGCTCCCCTTGTCAAAATGGAGCTTTATAGTGAGCTTCATCTCATTGTTTAGCTGTCTGGCTGCACCTTCACTGTTTTAGTTTAATATCACCTGTTCTCACAGGACAGAACTGGGTGGAGCATTTAGCAGCTAAAGAGTCAGATTTAAATGTGGAAGAGGTGAATTAATGAGCTAATGAACTACTTGTGACCAAAATTTGCTCCTAATTTACTCAGTTACTCAATTTAATCAGATAGTTGCATCAGTGGATTTTGCACCTTAATTAATTGAACAGCTAATGAAAAGCTTCAATATTTTAGGGAGGACTAAGACTAAAAGAGTCTGTGAAAACATCTCACTACAAGGTCCATTTGGTAGCTATTCTGGAGCTTTTGATCATAACACATGGTACTCACTAGTCAATGGAGTTTTGCCAGTTCAACAACGGGGGGGATGGGGGGATGACAAGACTTTTGCCCCTCACCTTCAGGTGTTAGGGTAACCTCCTCAACTCAACACTGAGGAATATGTCCACGGCCAATGTTACTGTCTTTCAGAGGCTGTAGTGGGCTTAGTATTAAAGCTAGAGTGATACAAATGGCATCATATGAAACCAAATTAATTAAGGCATCCATTGATACCAACCATGTCATACTAGTCTGTAGCAGGCTAAATAACACTCAACACACAAGGTTAGGCAAAACATTTTTGAAGGAAAAATTGGCATAGCTTTTTTCAAAGGGATACTTTGACTTCAAGATATCTGAATGGAAATGTATATGGGTACCCACTAGTCTCCTCTTTACAGACATCCCCACTTTATGCTAATCCTAGGGTTTTTCAATATTTCCGCATACTGGGGTCCACAAAGTGTTGGAATTGCATTGAATTGTGTGAATGGAAAGCTGAGCCTCTTGTGGAATCAATGAGCCCAATTGTATTTATGTGTTATGATGTTTGTCCCCATTGTAGCCATTTTACTGTAGTAAGAAAATTTTTTGAAACTCACTGTACAACAGGATTTTATTGTAATCTCTAGCATAATTGCAGCCTCACCAAATTGTACAAACACAAACTACAGACTGACAGCGTCCAGAGGAAGGATGGCTTTCCCAGCTATATTGACACCATTGATTTCCTACCGTATTTTTTTTGTACAAAAACTTTAGACTAGGCTGATACATAATAAGAAAGTTAACATGATAACAGTGCTTGTAATAACGGGACCACCAGTGCGTCCTGCAGGGTTGAGGAGGTTTAAGAAGTCAGTGGAGATGAATCAGGATTTGTCAACATAAGCCTGAACACTGGAAGGGTTTTCCGGCTCCTTATCCTCTGGTTTGCCCTCCCAGCCGTACGGTACAGTCGCAGCGTGCCAGAGAGGATACTGATCTGCTTGGTTGAATCTTTTTGGGGGGTGAGACGTGAAACAAAGATTAGGGGGAAAAGCTGGTCGGAGCCAGTTTTAGCTGAAGAGATGTGAAACCTTTTGTGTGCGGGCCAGTGAGCCTGGATCTGTGCTGGACGGTTTGGTACCTGCAGAAAGCCTCCGGGCTCCCTCACGCCTCCTCCCTTTTCATTTGGGCTGTTTTAAATTAAGCTTTGATGAAACGTTGAGGCACAAAGGAGGTGCCAGCTCGCTGAGGAGGCAGCACAGGAATGGTTGATGGTGGAAGAAAAGACACATGAGGAGAAAAACTCAGCACCATCTGTCCTCCCAAAAGATAGTTGTGAATGGGCAGTGCCAGTCGTGCCCTGCGCTCCGCCTGGGCTCATGGAGTCTCCGGGCCTCTTGTTGTCTAACAGGGAGTCTGCTGACAGATGGCCGTCACAGTCAGACAGTCTGTCAGTCAAACACATGCAGGGGGCAGCTGTGGAAGGGATGCTCACCACTACAGACACCAGGCATGCCAACCCCTAAATATGACTTATAGTCTTGTATCATTTTTAGAGGATAGATTCACATTTTTCTCTCTCCGTTAACCATCAGTCTATAAGCAACACCATATTTACTGTCAGAAATGCTCTCCATCTCGGTTCCAGGTTGCGATGAGAGGATGCTTACATCCAAGTGACGAGCAGCTAGTTAATGAGTAGGACAAAGTTCAGTTACCCTCGGCACGGCTTTGTGATGTTGCTTCTGTGCCGCGATTGGCTCCGCGATCTGTGTGTGTTCCCACTGAGAGCGTCTCAGACGCACAGCGTCTTCAGAGCATGTTGCTTGCCCGACGTTGTTTACTTGTGTATTTTGTCTTATTATTATTATTATTATTATTATTATTATTATATGATTCTGATTCTGATATACACAGAACATTATATCAAAAACATTTCACAATACCTGGAGAAAGATAAGTGAACACATCATTAGAGAAGAGTCAAGTCCATTTTATTTATGTAGCTTTCCCTCTGTCCTCAGACCATGAAAAACTCTTAAAAAAACATTTAAAGGGGGAAAATGCAAGGGACCTCAGGATGACCAACAGAGGGAGGATGTCGGGTAACTTCAGGTGTCCCCAAACAGTTCCTTCCAAAAAATACAAAAACACACAAGAGGCAAAACACATTTACACAGATGGGAGGAAGGAAACAAACACACAGAGGGAAAGAGAGGGAGAGAGAGACAAGAAGCCGTTTGCCTTAACACTAATATGTGGATCCAGTTAAACTTTAGTTTGAGAATTACATTATGTATCAACAAACAAGACTGTGGTCACCTCAGATGACCTCTTCTTTCCTCTCCTTTAGATTCATGCCTTTATTTCCTCCTGTTTCTCACCAATTTCTCTTTCTCTCTGTCCCTTTTCTTTTGTCTTCGTTTCATCCCTCCATCTCTGTCCAAAGCAGCTCCGGCTGGGCAGACGTCCCTCGCTGCCCCACTGGTAGTCTGGAAAAAAAAGATTTCCAGTCGTGGCAGCGGGGGTATTTGATGACCAGATTAGTGGGTATTAGGCTCAATGGCATTCACTCAGGCATACACAGGGGCCACCGGTTTGAATCCTCCTGAGTCGCCCCTCTTTTTCTTTCCACTGGCCTTCAGCTGAATGGAGGCCGGGGTTACGTGGGGAAACAACCAGCCAGGTCCTCGGCGGAGGTCAGCTGAGGAGGCCCGTCCATCCTGCGCCGCCTCCTCTGGCCCGGCCCGGTGAATTATGCTGTCAGAGGGGAGATTTGTTTTGTAACAGTAGGAAAGGGGGCAAATACAGAAAGAAGGGAGATGTGGGGGCTGGGGGTGCAGAGCAACAGAGAAAAGAAGAGGGTGAGGGGTGGTTTTTTGGGGGGGGTGCATTTAAGCGTGACGCATGATGGCCCTGCGATTTGTCCCAGTGGCAGCGGCGGCGGTGAGGAGGAGAGGACGCTGTCACACTGTGAAGCTGGAGCAGAAGTGTGGGAGCGCAGTATGTTAGGATGGGGGGGTGGGGGTACATGCACACACACACAAACACTGTCACACACAAGACACTGTCACACACACACACATTCTTCCTCCGACACCTCGAGGTTGGAGGCCTCACAGAGCGATGGAGTGCAGGTTAAGCAGCACTCCTGCCTTCATTAGTCTTCGTTAACACCCCCCCCCCCCAGGCTTGTTACCACCCCCCTCACCTCCCCC